CAGCTGCAGCAGCTACAGGAGGTGAGGACCAGGGCGGGATGGAGTGGTGACCTTCCCACTTATCGCAGCCTCGTCCCCAGCCCAGGTCCAGCCTCTCGGGAGGAGGAATCCCCCACAAGCCCAGGGAGTGAAGCATGGTGCCCCCACTATAGAGGTGGAGAAACCGAGGCCCCAAGAGGAGAGCTCTCTGGCCTTGGGTGACAGCTCCCCGGTGCGGGCCTCACAGCTGCCCGGCTGGGCGTGGGCCCGGCAGGCTGGCAGCGTCCTCCCCAAGCTTCAGGTGCTCACACTGAAGCCCCAGGAGTTAGCGACATGCTGGCTTCTGCGTAGGTGCTGCGGCAGCGTCAAGAGGCCGAGGCTGCGGCCCTGTGCATGGTCCAGAAGCTGCAGGACGAGCGGCGGCAGCTGCAGGAGCGCCTAGGCGGCCTGCAGCGCGCTCTGGCTCAGCTCGAAACTGAGAAACGGGAGGTGGAGCGGTCAGCCTTGCGGCTGGAGAAGGACCGGGTGGCCCTCAGGAGGACACTGGACAAGGTGGGCTGCTCCCCGGGGCCCTTCCCTCACTTGCTCTAGGTCCTAGCCGCGGTTGGCCCCAGCTGCACATCACTAGGGTCCGGGGCCTCTGGCACTCCTGGTCCTGCTGCCTCTGATCTGACATACCTCCTGGAGCACCCCCCTTCCCAGGCCTCCCTCCATCCCGGCACCCTGCTCCCCTCCTGCTCTCCCTGCCCAGGTAGAGCGGGAGAAGCTTCGCAGCCATGAGGACACCATGCGGCTGAGTGCAGAGAAGGGCCGCCTGGACCGGACGCTCACAGGGGCCGAGCTGGAGCTGGCCGAGGCCCAGAGGCAGATCCAGCTGCTAGAGGTCCCACCCCTGCCCACCCAGCCCTGGATACCCTCTCTCTCCCTAACCCATGACCCCCTCTCACCCCAGTCTGAGTGACAGGCTTTCCCGGGAGCTGTTGATGGCTCAGCCAGCCCACCACAGCCCACTGCCCACTGCCCACTGCCCATGAGCCCAGACCCTGGGGCAGGAGGAAGCTCAGAGTGAAGTCCCAGAGGGCAGGGTCCTCCCCAAAGTGCAGAGGAAAGAGATGCTAGTGGCGGGTTCGCACCTTAGCCTGTGTGTTCATGTGTGTTACGGGCATGTAGAAGCATGAGTGTACCTTAGAGTAATCTTGCGCAGGAATCCTTTGCACAAATGTGGTGAGTCTGAGTATTGAGAATATGTTATATCTGTGTGGGTGTGTACGTATGTCATCATGTATGTAGGAATATTAGGCTTTAGTGCATATGTACGCACCCATGTGAACACTGGTACTTACATGCTTGCTTTTGTGCCCATATGTATATGGGCCTGTGTTTGAGTACACCTGTGTGTGTGTGTGTCTGAGTAGGGAGGTCATTAGGTGCCCTAATCGCAGGCCAGGAGGGCCGGGGGTGGGGGTCAGAACAAACGGGACCTCACAGATCTCTCCTGCATCCCCTGCCTGCCCCGGCTTTGCTACAAGGAGCCTTCAGGCTGCTGCCCTGGGGATACGTCCTTGCGCACATGCCACATGCACACACGCACGGGGCCAGACTCCAGACCGGCGGCCTCTCCTGCAGGCCCAGGTGGTGGTGCTGGAGCAGGACCACAGCCCAACCCGGCTGGAGACGGAGGAGCAGCAGCAGCTGGAGCTGCAGCAGGAGGTAGAGCGCCTGCGCAGTGCCCAGGTGCAGACGGAACGCACCCTGGAGGCGCGGGAGCGGGCCCACCGGCAGAAGGTGCATGGGCTGGAGGAGCAGGTACTCAGGCCTGATCAGGCTCCGGCCCCTCCCCTGGGGGAGGCAAAGCCAGCAGGACCCTGCCTTGGGCACCTGGGCCAGGGTACAGGTGTGAAGCTAGGGAAGAAGGAAGGGGAAAGGGAGAGGCTGGGTGTGACCTCTTGGGTATAAGCAGCCTCTGGCACCCAAAATTGAAATGGTCTGGTGGTGTCGACCATGGTGGAGCAAGGGCTTAAGTGATGTCATTGGAACCCAGTCCCCTTGCCATGGCTCTGCTCTCCTATGGCTCTAGGCAGGCCCCCTCCCTGGGCAGCAAAGGTGGCCCCAGCAGCTCCAGCCTCGGGTTATCCCAACAACCCTTGATCCCAGGGGCAAGGGGGGCTTTTTTCCTGAGAGCAACAAGAAAAGTCCCAGGGATGCTGCTCATTGACTGGCTTCAGTCCCAGGCCCCTTTCTGACATCCCTGACCTCATCGCGTCTACAGGGCAAGGCCGGTTTGGGAAGCCAGGCCCGGGTCTCAGGGCTGCCCCTGGAGTCAGGCCAGCGCCAGGCCTATCTGAGTGATGAGGGTGGGCATAGGGCGGCCCCAAAGAGATGCCAAACAGTCAGAGGACACCTGACTATCCCGTGGAACAGAATGAGAAGGGAAGAAAACACCCTGGTTCCTTTTTCTTTTTTTAAGTGAATCCTGTCTTTATTTTTTATTTATTTTTAGAGAGAAGGGAAGGGAGGGAGAAAGAGAGAGAGAAACATCAATGTGTGGTTTGCTTTTTGCATATCCCCTACTGCGGACCTGGTCCGCAACCCACGCATGTGCCCTGACTGGGCATCAAACAGGTGACCCTTTGGTTCACAGGCCGGCACTCAGTCCACTGAGCCACACCAGCCAGGGCGAAAACACCCTGGGTCTTAGTGAGGCCTGTTCTTTGCCTGAAACAGGCAGCATTGGGTCCCTCCTGGGGTCCCAGCTGCAGCTACCCCCCTTTCTCTGGAATCAGGCTAAGGACCTGGGCTGGCTCTACCAGCTCTACCTTCTCTTTCTTCCCCAGGTGTCCACACTGAAAGGACAGTTGCAGCAGGAACTTCGGAGAAGCTCGGCATCCTTCTCCCCCACCTCTAGGCCCCCAGAGAAATGAGTCCCTTCCCAGCTGGTAGCTGGGGCAGGAGTGGGGCCTCCTTTCCAGAACAATCCACCCAAGAGCCTGAGCATGTCAGGGCCACCAGAGCTCAAATGAGGGTGAGGAGGAGCTGGGCTGGCAGTTCTGAGAGGCGGGGACTCCAGTGCCAGGCCAGACCCAGCACTGGCTTCCCAGCATCATAGGAGCCACCCACCCACCACCTGTGGGCTCCACCTCAGCCCAGCGCCCCTCCCTGGATGAGCCGCTCCAGGCTGTACAGGACCCTTGCTGAGTGGCTGAGCCTAAGCCAGGGGACAGGGAGACCCTCTTGGCTATAGCCAGGCCTCGGGCAGGGGTCAGAGACCCAGGCCCTGCCCTGGCTTCCCAGAGCCCTCTTTGCCTTAGTTCAGAACATTTGTCAGGAAATTCCTCAGAGTTCAGAATCCCTGTATTTTTATACCTTTTTATAATGTTAACTGTTCAGAACTGTTTGTGTTATTTTATAACAAGATCTTTTTTCTAAAAATGGTTTTGTACAGATGTGTCTGTTCACTATCAATGTGCCTCGTCCACCTGGAAGGTGGGCGGGGAGACAGGTGGGGCCTGGGGCAAGAGGGGTGGGTGCCCCAGGGAGGGGCCCAGGAGTTCGGGTTGGGGGGAGCTTCAGAGAGGCCTGCCTCAGGGTGGCAGGGTGGGGAGGTCTCCAGGCCGAGCACCACCCGCCCCATTTCACAGATGGGGCTGTGGAGGCCTGGAGCTGCAATGGAACCTGCACAGCTTGACTCTGTCCAGCTGCAGCTTTCTCAGCCCTTTCTCTGGCTGCTTCTCAGGGTGGGGCCTGCCCTCTGGAGCCCGCCCTCTGGACAGGGAGCAGCGTTCCAGGCAGCAGGTGAACAAACGCAGGCCTTGGGGGTGAATGTGGGGTCTTGCCCTGGCTCTGCTGAGCGAGCTTGGGCAACGGTGCCCAACCTGTCAGCCTTCACGTGCTCATCTGCAAATGGGAACCTGCCCCAGGGTTAGGGTTAGGAGGAAGTACACAGGGAAGGCGGCCTGTATTTCCAGGAGAAACCACCCTCCTCCATGAACTCCACCGGAGTCGAGTTCCGCTCAGCCCTGCCCCTTCTAGCGGTGGACCATTGGGCGGGTGACTCCAGCCTTTGGGCTTAGTTTCTCTGTCAGTAAGATGCGCATACTGATTGTACCCACCGCAGAGGCCTGCTTGGGGGGTTAGGTAAGATGGTGCTGAGCAGCCGCAGAGCCGGGGCCCCGCAGGCTGGGCAGAGGTGCCGCACTGGCTTGCCCTGTTTGTGCCCTCTGAACCGCACCAGCCCCCACCCGCCTCCGGCCCATGTCCTTGATCTCACAGTCCACCTACCTCGACCTCCTGCCTTTCACCCTGTATTCACCGTTTGCTTCCGTGCTGGCGGCCTCCTGCCTGGGCCTCACCCCTCTGATGACGGGATGGGCCCTGATGACAAGAAGCTGTGCTCCTGAACCTTCTACTTAGGATGTAGCCCAGGGGCCAGAGGCCACGGCCCATCTTCCCGGCAGGTCAGAGCTGACGTCAGTGGGTGGGGAGGCAGGGCTGGGAGGGCAGAGGCAGAGCCACCGGTTGCTGGAACAGTCCTTTCTTGAGGGACCAGGAACCTCTTAGCGAGGACAGGTAGTGGTGTGGGCATCTGGCCGCCCCCTCTGTAGTCTCCAAAGAATGACTGAATCTTTTGTAAAAACTTGTTTTTAATTTTATATAAAACAGGTGGGCTATGCCCAGGGCTGTAGGAAATTCAAGCAGACCAGCTGGGGTGAGGGGCATAGCCTACCTCAGGGGCTAGGGGGCACTGTCCTCAGAGGGACTGAGAAGGCACGTCGGACGCCCAGGTCCCACTGAGAGGCCCCGGAGGCCCCCCGCCTGGGGGTGAAGACTGCAGCGGGGAGCCCCCATGGTGCCTCAGGCGTGGCCACAGGCTGGGGTGGGGCCGGAGACAACCCCCAGGCCGCAGTCCACTATTTACTGAATGAAAGGAATGTCAGTCAGGCCGGGAGGGAAAGCACCAGGTCAGGCGGGGCCTGAGGGCCCCGGATCTGAGGAGGGGCCAGGGCTCGGGTGCCCGCTGCACCCTAGCAGCCCCCGCAGCTCCTGGCGCAGGAGGCCGCCACAGACTGGCACAGGCCACTGCTGGCCATCACACCGCATTTGGAGAACTTGTCCCGACACAGGTCAGCTGTTGGGGGCGCAGAAAGGACATGGGATCAGGGTGGGGCTGGGTGATGGAAACTGCTCCCTATTCTGGCTTCCGGATCCCCTGGGAGTGGCCCTCACACCTAACACACGTGTCATAAACATGGACGGGCAGACGCATCCCGAGCGGGCAGGGGCGGGGAGAGGCCTGGAGGCAGGGGCTGCCTACCTCGGAGGAGCTCCTCGTGGGCACAGACTGTGCGGACACAGATCTCCTTATTGATGACGTACATTCGGCGGAGGCTGGGGGACGAGGCCGGGGAGGGGTCAGCCCCACCGGGGGGGGGGGCCTGGGCAGGAATTGGCACTGCAGCCCCAGGGCCCCCAGCCCCGGCCAGGGCTCAACCAGAGTCGAGCTCAACTTTGGGATTTCCTTATCTTTCCCCAGATCCCACCTGGGCCGGCCGGGGCTGCCCCCTCGGCCCCCCGCCCCCATGGCCCGCCTGCGCTCACCTGTAGAAGCAGACCTCGTTGAGACACTGTTTGCAGGGCTTGTGTATGGAGTAGAGGCGGGTGCATGGGTACTGCTCCTCACGGCAGTCTGGGCAACAGGCGGGATCAGGCTGGGGGGCTGCGGCTTAGGGCCCAGGCTGGGGGGCAGTAGCCCCTAACCTTCCCCACCAGAGACTGCCTCTCATCTCAGGGTCTAGCTAAGCCCTGCACCCCCCAGCCCAGCCCACACCCCCAAAACACACACGAAAATGCGCGCGCGCATGCCCAACACATACACACGCAGCATTGTTGGACCTCACTCTGCCCAATTTTATACAATGTAGTTATACATTTACAAATTCACAACCACACTTGGAAGGATGTATTCAAACATACAAATACTCAAACACAAATCCACAGCCACACACCCTGTCACAGCAGTCCCCCCCGACCTCGCAGGTGCACGCATGACCGCACTGAGCTCACAAGGGTCGGACAGGATCCCACCTAGTCTTGCTCTCGCAGGCTCTTGGCTGGGGTGGCACGGGCGGCACGGGCGGCTCAGCCAGCCTAGGCGTCCTGCCCCTTCCTCACCTGCCTGCCAGCAGGCTGCCTGCACCCAGAGCCTGGGAGCAGAGGGCCCTCCGGAGCCGGCAGCCAGCTCAGCCTCCAGCCAGGCCCAGGGGGCAGGGGCGTCTCCCAGTGCTGCCTAGGGGGCCCTGGATTGGCGGCCTAAGGCAGGGGCACATCTGCAAGCCACCCACCCCACCGGCTACCTGGGCAAACGCAGAGGACCTGGCAGTCTGTCCTATGAGTGCCCCACCCCGCCCCACCTCTACCACCGCGGGCTGTGCCTGTTTTCCCAGCTGTCAAGAAATCTCTTACCAAGAGGCCCAGGCTCCGTGGGCTCCGTCTCCGGGTTTCCTGGCTCTGGTGTTGGGAGAGGGGCAGGCCGAGACCACTGAGAGGGGTCCCCTCAGGGCAGGGTTAGGCCACCTCTCCCCACCCCGGCACTGACCCCGCCCCTCCCAGGGCTGACAGGAGCTGTGGCCTACCGAAGGTGGGGGCCGGGATGACTTCCTGCTGGACTTGCTGTTGAGACTGGAACTGGAACTGTTCCTCGGAGGGCCGAGGGGTGGCCTCTGCACAAGACATGACAGGGGGTCTTCTCCTTCCCCTGCCCCCTGCACCCAGGTGTCTGCCCATCCTACCCAGCCTCCTGCCCTTTACCTTGATAATCATAGTAGTCCGGGTTGTCTGAAAACAAAGATGGATGTGGAATTGGCGGGGGTCAGGCTAGCTCCCAGCCCCAGGGCCAAAGGAGGTCACAACTGAGCCAGGGACAACCCCTCCACCCCCACCCTGATTCCCATCACCTAACCCCGCGGGGTCCTTGGCCGAGCCCCTTTGCACATCTGGGGATCCAGGCCTTGAAGACATGGCAGGGCTGGGAGGACCTGGTGGGGGGACAGGCCTTACCGATCTGGTCACTGTAATGGGTATACTGGACGTGCTCTGGGAATGGCGGCAGTGGGTCCAGGTCATATTGCCCCTGAGCCAGCAGGCCTGCTGCGGGGAGACAAAGCGATAGGGGGCGCCCCACGGGGACAGCAGGGGCCCCGAGGCACTTCTGGAGGCGGGCCTGTGAGATGCTAAGCCCCTTCAAGCGCTCTTAGACCCTCAGGGTCCAAACTGATTCCTCACCCGCTAAGGCTCTCACACCCCCTGGTCCTGTGTCGTCCCACGGACCTCATCCTGGCCATCTCCCTGACGCAGGCCTCCCAGCTGTTCCTGGAACTCAGCACCCTCCTTTCCCTCCCAGGGCCTTGGCGCTTGACTCTCCCTAGGCCTGTGACTCTGGTCACCTTCTTCAGATCTTTAAATTTCAGCTCTGCTAAGAGGCTCTCGCGGGCCCACCTCCTGCCTTCCTCAGCCTCCCGTTTATGTCCATCACAGCACTCAATAGAATCTGACATTTATCACGTCTACTTGATAGCACAGCCCTCCCCTCCCCAGACGGGCGGCACCACGAGGACGGGGCTTTGTCTGCCAGGTTCATCGCTGTATTGATTCCCAGGGCCCAGCTTAGTGCAACAGTGGGAAATTATGACGGTGAAAAACTCTAACCCACCCCGCCATTCTTTTGACATCGTTTCTGTAAGTGCTAACTCTAATATGTGGCTTATAGATGAAGAGCATGTTTGTCTAAGAATCCCAAGGAACTAACTTCAAAAGACACAGACCCTGACCTTCAAGCATCCCAGCTCCGGGAGACTTGCTGACCTTCAACCATGGAGCCAGGATGATGTGAGGCCGGGATGATGTGAATCCCGGGTGGCTAAACACCAAATCATCATGCGCCTTATTGGAATGGGCTGTGTGCGTCTGCACGTGGAGAGTTTTGCAACCCCTTTCCTTGACCTCTTTGTCTACTCCCCTCTCCCTCCTTATAAAAACCTCTGCCTCCAATGAGAAGTGCAGATGGGCTCTGAGACATGAGTCCCCATCTTCCAGGTGGCCGGCATCTGCACATAAACCACTTTCCTTTACATCAGCACCTGCCTTTTGAGTATTGGCTTTCGTAGTGGCAGGCAGGTGGGCCTGCACTGGGTTATACTAGTGCCTGACACATAGTAGGAGCTCAGCAACTATCAGTTACATGAGTGTGTGTTACACCTGGCAGGGCCTTTGGATCCCCACTGATAACTTGTCACTTGACCAACAGGGACCCCGTTAAGGTCAAGACTGTATAGGGCAGTTGAACCCCAAATGGGCCTAGAGTCCGTGCCTTGGGTACCCTGCACTCCCTATACATGAGCTCCGGGGAGGGTCAGTGAGAGAGAGGAAGAGTGTGGTCCTCTGCCCCTGGGTGAGTGCCCACCCTCCAGGGTCCACCAATCTGCTGCTGCAGACAGCTGGGGTGAGAGCCCAGGAAATGCCTCAGGCTCTGGGAGGCCTTGGCTAGTCCAGTTGTGGTCCAGGAGGCAGGAGGCCCCGGGACACAGGGAGCTGAATGCTAGCCATAGGGCATAGCAAAGACCCACTGCCATCTCCCTCGCCCACAAACCTCGCTCTCACCCACAAAAGGGGACCCCCCCCATCTCCAGGAGCCACTTACCAGGCAGGAATAGCAGGAAGAGGTAGGCAGCGCTCATGGCTACTCGGTGAGGCGGGCTGGGCTGATGTCAGACAGCTGGAAGAAAGGGGTCAGTCTGCGCCCCAGGCCCACTAACCCAGGACTGCTGAACCCACCTCCACTTCCCCGGACTCAGCCTGGAGAAGGAGGCACCCAGAATAGAAGCGGTGCACGCAGAGGGCCCAGAGTCTAGAGAAGGGGCTGCTTTGGAGGAAAATCTGCTGTCCCCGATGGCCCACTGAGTGTTCAAGCCCTAAGGGACAACGCCTCTCATTTGGCTCCAGGGCTGATCTTAACAAATGGGCAGACTCTACCCTGCCCTGCTCAGCAAGGGGACATTTCCAACCCTCTACCATCCCTGACCTTGCTATCTTTTTCCACTACCATACCCAGCCCCTGGTCCAGGACCTCCCCAGGTGTCTAATACATTGACCATGTAAACCCCTGACCCCGGGGCCCCGGGGCCCTTGGGACCCCAGCCCTGTCCAGCCAACATCGCGGCCCACTCAGGAGCGTCTGCCAAGCTCACTGCCTGCTCCCAATTAGCCCCTGGGCCTTCAGCATCTTGCTCAGCAGGAAACCGCATGCGTGCACAGGCCCCGGGGCTCCCAAGGCGGCCAGGCCTGGGCAGGGCTCCCACCCCCAGAAGATGCCTCTCCTGCCAGGCCTCCCAGGACCTGGCGGTGCATCAGACTCACGAGACTGTGGTCTATTTGTCTGCAGCAGCAGGAAACACTTAGGGTGGAGTCTGAGGAAGGCTCCTCTGGCTCCTAGAAAGGCAGCGCTGGGGGGAACCATGATGTCACCCAGCCTAGGGGTGCTGGACCCCCTGACATTGTATGACAAGTGTTGTGTGTGTAATTCTGGGGGGACAGAGCAGTGATCCATAGCTCTCACCAGGCTCTTGAAGTTTAAGAACTCCTGGCTGAGTCCAGCCTCCAGTCTTTGGCCCCACAGGGGACTTGGCAGAGTCTACAGGTCCCCACATCCAGGCCCAGCTCAGTGGAGGGCAGCCTCAGACAGTCGGCCTTCTGCTGGGAGGCCTGGGAGAGAGCCCGCGGGCTCATTTATCCAGGAGGCCCCCTCCCTGCCACAACAAAGGGAGTCCTTCCAGACAGCTAACTGGAAACCTGACATATTTCCCCTGCGGGGGGGGGGGGGGGGGGGGGGGGGGCGAGTCTAGGGAGAGGGGAGGAAAAGGGGCAGAAACAGGCATCTTGCCCTCCTTTCTTCCCGGTCCTGAGACTTCTGTGACTGCTGCCCATCTCATGCATTCAAACCGCTCTCCCTTCCCGAACCCTCAGGGCGGCTGGATGGGGTGCTGAGGACACTGAGGGGTGATGGGGTGGGTGCGGGAGATGAGACTCATGACTCAGGTTGCCCCCCAGGCTGGGGACATCTGGCTCCCCACAGCCCCATCCTGAAACCCCTTGGCCTCCTCCTCCTGTTAAGAGGGGCAGAAAGAACCAGGGCCTCCTTCCTTGCAGCTCCCTACAGGGAGACCCTCTCCTGTCCTTGTCCTCCCAGGGCTGGTAGCAGCCAGGCTCATTGGGACTGTCTGCACTCAGGATGAGGCCTGAGTTGGGGCCTACGGGGCCGTAAGACGTGTATGAATGGGGTGACCTCTGTCTGTCCCCGAAGTCTCTCTGTGGCCTCTCAGCCCCCTGCATGGAGTCCAGACTTTTCCTCCCCAGAAGGTCTGGCACCCAGGCCCAGGCTCCTTGGGGAAGGAGGCCCCTAGGACAAGCGGGATGCTTGTAAAGAGGAGGGTCCTGTGGGAGTAATGAATTGTCCCAGGGAGCAGCTCCAAGCACTTCTAGACTATGGATTTTGGGGATGTGGGGGAATCCTAGGACCTGCCACAGCAGCAACTGCTCTACACTCTGCGTTCCTTGCCGGAGAGGGACGAGCGGGGGCCTACCCAGAGCCTCCTGCCCACGCTCCCTCGGAGGGAGGCTCTGCCTGCTGCGGAGGCCGGGCCGGTCTGGCTGTAGGAAACCAGATGTTGCAGCGCGCACAGCTGGGAACAATCAGCCACGGCGGGCGCGCTCTCCCGGTCTCTGATCTCCCTTTGTCTCTCCGCGTCTCGGGGCTCCTGCCGCACACCCTCACCCCACCCGCCACATTCCAACCTCCCAGGGAGAACAAAAGCTGCCCCCAGCCCCGACGCCCCCACTTCTGGCTCTCCCCACACCCAGGCTCCCCTCCTTTCCCAACCCGCCGTCCTCCCCTCAAAGCGATCCCGAACTTTCTAAGTGGCCTCTTAGCATCTGCTCAGACGGCCGGGGCTCAGGGACGCTGGCAGCCGCCCCCAGGGCCGGGGACACGCAGAGCCCTGCGCCGCCCCCCGCTCGCGGCCCAGGTCCCGCGAGCGCTCCCCGCCGAGTCCTGCAGCCAGTCCCGCGCCTACCTGGCTGGGTCACTCCGCTCCGAGTCCGCCAGCCGGAGCCGCCCCTTTGCCCGCCGAGAGCCCCGCTCCGGGCCCCCGACGGGCCGGCGCCCGCCCTCCAGCCCTGGATCCGCTGGGTCCTAACGCGAGAGCCGCGGCCCGGGCCGCCGCGGCCTCGGGCCCGCACCCGCTCCTGGGGGCGGACGTGGGGCGGGGGTGAGGGCGCCCGCGGAGCCATCGTCAAGTCTGTCCCACACTCCTACTGTGTCGAACGTTTCCTCCTGGGATCCACATCGCATCTGGCCCGCAGTCAGTGGTGAGGTGGGCGAGTGAACGAGTTACCCCATTTTACAAAGAAGGAAACCAAGGCTCCTAAAGGGATTCACCCAGAGCGCTCAGCTGGGAGTAAGCCCTGTGCTCCCTTCTGGCTTCTCCCAGCTTGGAGGACACCCTTGCTGGCCTGATTTTCTTCCTGCCTCTCTGGCTGTACCTTCTGGGTCTTCTTAGTCATCTCTGGGCTGCCGCTGGCTTCAGTAACCAGCATTTCTTTCGGGCCTCCGGCTCCAGCCTACACGGCCTGGCCCCACGAATGTTGCCGAGGCCTATCAGATTCATCAAGGATCCCAGTCCGAACTCAGGACCCCCAGCCCTCCCCCAGGAAGGTGCTCCCGCTCCTGTGGCCTCACCATCCCTCCATGACTCAGCTTCTTCCGCCTGCCATCAGCCCCTGCATCCAGTCCAGCACCCAGCCACCAATTCTGCCTCTGAATTATCTTTTGAGTCTGTCCGTTGTCCCCGTGGTACTGTAAGCCACCGCCATCTGTTTTTAAAATTTTTTAAAAATTTGTTGATTTTTAGAGAAAGAGAGACATCACCTTATTCCACTTATTTATGTATTTATTGGTTGATTCTTTGTATGCGTCCTGACCAGGGATCAAACCCTCAACCTTAGTGTAGCAGTACAATGCTCTAACCACTGATCTACCTACCCAGGACCACCACTACCATCTCTGGCCTGGATTCTGTAACAGCCTCCAATCTGGGCCTTCCCAAGTGGGCCCTGCCCTTCCCTGTGGCTTCAGCCACTGAGCCCCTTCTACTTAAAGCCTTCGCTCCTTTTCCACGGTACCTAGGCTCGAGGTCAAGCTTCCCTGTGGCCCCCAAGAGCCCTGCCCTTCATCCTGGTCTGGCTTTGCCTCTTCGTTCCCTCCAGCCGCATGACCTTTTGGTGTTCTCTCACTAATGTCCTCTGCTGCCACAGGGCCTTTGCTCGAGCTTGTCTTCCTCCTGAAACACCGCCAAGGTCTACCTCCTCCTGGTCATAGATTGAACCCTCCCTTCCTTTCCTTTCTTCCTGTCAGGCTCCAAAGCATCTTCGGCTTTACTGCGCACAGCTGGCATGTTGTCCTATGTCTGCGGGATCGTTTGTTTAGCCTGTCAATCGCATGAAGACAGGGACAAGGTCTGTTTTTGCTCATCCTCGGATTTTGCTCATTAGGCACAGTGCCTGGCTCAGCCGCTCTTCAGTGAACATTTGTGGAATGAAAGAATGAATGTACACTTGTTTCTTCTCGGAGAGACTGGCTGGGTGGTAGGGGGCGGTGCAGGTCCCCTGCCTCTGGGGCAGTCCTCAGCCGTGCCTAGTCAGGGGGCTCCCGCTGGGAGGGGGACATGGGCATGCCCCCTTGATCCAGGTCCTCACCTTTAGACCTCCTTGCCTGGTCCTGCTCCCCACAGCTGCCCATCTCCTAGGCTCTGAATCCTATTAGATAGGAACTGAATCCAGCAGTCACCCCTTATCTGTGGTTTTGCTTTCCACAGTTTCAGTTACCCATGGAACTCTGTGGTCTGAAAATACTACATAGAAAATTCCAGAAATAAACAATTCATACTTTGTTTTTAAAGATTTTACTTGTTTTTTTTTTTTTGTTGTTGTTTGTTTGTTTTAGAGAGAAAGGGGAAGGGAGAAAGAGAGGGAGGGAAACATCAGTGTGTGGTTGCCTCTCACGTGACCCCACTGGGGACCTGGCCTGCAACCCAGGCATGTGCCCAGACTGGGAATCGAACCAGCGACACTTTGGTTCATAGGCTGGTGCTCAATCCACTGAGTCACACCAGCCAGGGCCACAATTCATACATTTTAAATTGCACACCGTTCTGAGTAGCGTGATGAATCTCATCTCAAATCATCCCACTCTGGCCAGCCAGACGTGAGTCATCCCTGTATCCAGAGTGTCTATGCTGAACATGCTCTTGACCCCTTAGTCCCTTGATAGCCATCTCCCTTATCTGTGAGTTATCTGTCACGGTATCACAGTGCTTGTGTTCAAGTAACCTTATTTTACTAAGGCCACACTCACACAATTTTTATTATATTAATTCTTCCAGTTTATTCGTTACTCTTGGTAATTTCTTGCTGTGCTTAATTTATAGATTAAGCTTTATCACAGGTGTGTATAGGATAAAACCGTGTGCATGGGGTTCGGTACAATCTATGGTTTCCAATACGCATCCACAGCCGGTATTGGAATGTGTCCCCTGTGGATAAGGGGGCACTGCTGTATGTCCCTGCATCCTTTGTTCTCCAGGGCTGGTTTGTCGAATGAATGAGTATCTGCCACGTCCCTCTCCAGAGTCTATCACAGCACAGCAGGGACTTTGGTTACCAGAGCACTATAGGCCCCGAGGGCCAGCCCAGTCCTCGGCCCTCCCTTGGCCTTCACTGCTACCAGGCACAATCCCTCTAGGGCAGGAGGGGAAATCACCTGGCAGGAGTCCTGCCCCCTACTCTTGACAGAAGGGGGAAACTGGGGCCCCAAAGCTGCATACTCCAATGTCCTGGCTTCTAGATCCTCTCTACCCACTCGCCTGGCCCTAAGGACCCAAGCAGAGGTGGCGGCTGTCCAGGGGTGGGGGTAGTGGGTTAGAGATTTGTTCCTTCCCTGTCTTGTCTCACGCCAGGTTACAAGCTGCACACAGACAAAGGCCACCTTTTGTTCACTGCTGCAGCCCCTGGGCCTGGCGCATGACCGCCCAATAAATGCATGAATAATTGGCTAAGGGTAGAGGAGGGATTCAAACCCAGCCTTCTCACTGTCCTCTGACCTCCCCTCGAACAGCAACCACCACCCTGGTGCTGGGAGAGGACTCAGTACCCAGTGCAGGTCTGTGGCTGTGCCTGATATTATGAGTTCTGTTTTCACACTCCACATCTCTTCTCCTGTTTGAGTGAACGTTTACCGAGCGCTTACCGGGGCAGGGCTGGGGGCGCTGCCAGAGCTCCGTGTCAGGCTTGGCGGGGCCTTTGGAGGGCAGGAATCAGCCTTTGTTCCCTGGTGTCCCCGGCCCAGCGCAGGTGGGCCAGATGACCGGGTAGGGCTTGGCCACGCTCCCTGGACAGTGCACATGGTTTTGGCTGGGCAGTGTGTGCTCAGAGCCTGGATTTTCATCCCACGAACTCCTCCCAGGATGTTGGGGGTGGTGGGGAGAAGGGGACTGCCCCAGTTAAATGCCCCTTAGGCACCGGCACTTGCCTTTCTGCCCCGCCCCCCACCCCCTGGCACAGGAAGGTAGGAAGGTTAAGAGAAGATGCTGGAGTCAAAGCAGTCTGGCCCCACTTCTGACTACTTGTGTGACCTCTAAGCCTCAGTTTCTGTATCTAAAATGGGGACAGCAATCCATACTGGCCATAAGGATCAAATGACAACGCTATAAAATGCTTAGCAGAGCATCAGGCACAAGCTAACCCGGCGTCATCACCGTCAGATGCAGGGGTGCCAGGAGCAGACACACGGCAGGCTCTGCCAGCCGGGCAGCCGGCTCGGGAGCGCCAGGTAGGAAACAGGCACAACCGAGCCAGTAAAATAGTGATTTTATTTGCTACACTGACAACAGCTCTGAGTGGCTTGGAGGCTGCTGTCTCTACGTGGGATGTCTGAACAGGGAGACGACAGTTAGCGTTTCCCCAAGTGGGGGCAGGAAGGCTGGGCCGGGCAGACTAGGGGCAGGAGTGTGACGGCCGCCAACCTCAGGGCTGGGACTGTCTCTGGAGACGGGGCCCAGTCGGTGGCTTGGAGGAAGGGAGATCCAGGGTCCAGGGTGCCAGACAGGGCGCACTATCCCCCGGGCCCAGTGGGTGGCGGCCAGGGCCGCTCGGCCAGCTCCCGCTCCAGCTGCTTGAAGCGCTTCTTGGAGGCCCCTTTGGGCCGCAGCCACCGCAGACAGTTGGGGAGGCACTGGTCCAGCAGACTCTGCAGAGCACAGGAGCAGCGCAGAGGGGGTGGCTGTGGCCGAGTCCCCCCTCCACGCGCCACTCCAGCCCCGAGCCGCAGCGGGTCCCACCTCTAGCATGAAGGCCCCCACGAAGTTGAAGGCGACCAGGCCCAGCAGCAGCAGTTTGAAGCAGGTGTCACTGATGTTCCTTAGCTCCAGTGGCCCCCGCAGGAGGCCAGGGACCAGGAGGAGGCCCACTAGGATGGAGGCCAGGAGCGCCAGGGCCACCAGGAAGGGCACTGGGGGCGAGGGAGTCCGTTAGGCCAGGGAAGCCCTGCACACTCACACACCAGCCCACTGGGACCCCCTGCCGCTCCCCTCCCTGTGCCCAGCCCGCCCACCACGCAGCAGCACCGTTGGTGTACAGCGGCTGGCGGAAGGGCGCCCCCTTGGACACGGCTGCGGCCAGGATGAGGTACTGGAAGCTGGACAGAGAGAAGACCACTGTGTTCTCATAGTTGGGCAGGTTGTTTGGTGCAGGCACTGTCCCATTCAGAGGCTCGAACCTGAGGGCATGGGGACCAGGGGTCAGGGAATGAGTGTGTGGCAGGCAGGGCAGGGGTGGGCTTGGGGGACAGGCTCCCTACTCACCAGGGCTGGGCCACCGTCAGGAAGTAGCCCCCCAGCTGCACGCCGGCCACCAGGGCCACCTGCAGCAGCAGGCTGCTCAGCACGGGCACACTGAGCAGCGCCCCTGGCGGCCGCGCCCGGCCCAGCACCAGCGCCGGCCCGGTGCGGCTCATGAGCACGGCCACTGTGGTGGTGATGACCAGGTCTATGGCCAAGAACTGCAAGTCGCCCAGGTTGGTGTTGATCTGCAGGCAGGGGAGGGAAGGCAGAAGGAACATCAGCCCCAAGTCTGAGAGGGGAGCCCCGCTCCCAGTCTGAGGACGCTGGCAGCCCTTCTGGCCTGGGGAGGACCGACTGATGGGACAGGCTCCCCCACCTGTGGGGGCGTCCCAGCCTGCGGGGGCCTCAAGCTCTGCCTTGTGGGGGAGCCCCTGGGTTAATGGAGGCCACAGCTCCTGCCCACAGGAAGCCCCAGGCTCCAGGTGGGTACAGGAATAGAGTCTAGTGTAAGATCAGCACTGCCAGACAATGTCACCAGCTTTCCACACGGGCCAGTGACACGTGCTCAGGAAAGGGGGTGAGACGCCTCTCCTCTCAGGGAAACAGGTGGGCCCACAAGAAAGGGGCAAGGGCCTTGGCCCTGCCCCACGCCCACCCCCACCTCCTTGCCCCTGCCTGGGCCCGCCCCAGTGCCCCCGCAGATGGGGAGCTCTGGAGGACAGGGATGAAACGCCAGCACAGGACCGCCCCCGCTCCTGAGGGCCTGCAGGCTCTGCGCTTTTGTCCCCTCATACCAGCCTGGTCCCTGAGCCTCAGGGGCCACCTCCACCACACAGCTAGAAAGTGGCAGAGCGGGACTTGAGGCCATACCATCTACACCAGTACCGCCGGGCTCCTAACCACCCCAGAGCGGCCTCGCCCTGGGCCTGACGCGGGCCTGCCCGCGGGCGCAGCGCTGGGCAGGGCGCCCTGCAGACACCCACCGTGTACAGGAGCAGCACGGAGATGAACTGGGTCAGGCTGTACAGGGCCATGTACTTGAAGACGCTGAAGGACGTGTCGAGGGAACAGCGGCCTTCCCTGGGTAGCGGGCGGGGACATTAGGGGGCCCAGGCTGGCTGATGGGCCATCCCTGCCCATGGGCCCTGCCCGCCTCACCTGATGACCATGGGCACACACTCGATGCTGGCCACGCTCGAGGTGAAGGGCGAGACCACGGAGGCCTCGGCCTGGGAGAGGGAGATGCCCACGTCCGCCGCCTTCAGGGCCCCGCAGTCGTTGGCGCCGTCCCCGCACATGCCCACGCAGTACCTGACACAGAGGGGCGGACGGGTGTGGCCCGAATTCACGGCAGGCTCTGAGCCTGTGAGGTGCTTCCTCATCTGTGAGGGAGCCCCATCCACCTCACGGCCCACGGGCAGAACATGAGGAAGGCTGTCCCCCTGCTGCCCGCAGGGTGCTGGGCGTACAGCCGGTGCTCAGTAAATGGGTGCAGTCACTACTCTGGCATGAGGGCCCCGGGGGAGCCGGCGTGGCTTCTCTCTGAGGGCCATGGCGCTCTAATGCCTGAGGTCGGAGGCAGGGATTCATGGGCTGGCCTGTCCCCCGAAGACCCCTCACCCACGTGCACTCACTGGAGCTTCTGCAGCTCACACACCAGCTCTGTCTTCTGCTCAGGAGCCATGCGGGCGAAGACAGTGCCCTGGACTAGGACCTGGGAGCACAGGGACAGGTGAGGGGCTGAAGCAGCCACCGGATGGGCAGGGCAGCCAAGAGGAGGGAGCAGAGCAGGGGGCGGTGGGGGGTGGCCTGGGAGGCTGGGGCCGCCCTACCTTGGGCAGTAGCTTGGGGAAGTGCTTCACGAGGACACCAAAGGTGGACCCGCTGAGGGCCAGGTGGCTGGATCGGGGGTCTGGCTCCACGGTGTAGCTTGAGACCTGGTCAGGGTCCTGGAGGCCCGGGAAGCTCAGCTCAGTGCCCCCTGCCCACCTGGGTTGCTGGGCCCTGGATCAGGTGACACGGGGCGGGGTCACTGGTAGGGCATGTGGCAGAACGCCAGGTCAGCCTCACCTTAGCCCCGTTCATGGCCACAGGGGACTCCACTGGCAGGAGCTCGAGGGAGGCAGGCTGGCCCCGCTCAGGGGGAGCGGCACGGAGGATGACCAGGCGCTCCTGGGGGCCCACCATGCCGCAGCTCTGGGCCACAGTGACTGCTGTCTGCAGGTTGTCCCCTGGAGGGGAGGGGTCAAGGTCAAGCTGCTATCCAAGGGGGCCGCCCTCACCCTGACACTTGCAGATGGGAGAGTTAAGGCTGGACAGAATCCATCTGCCATGATTGGCTGAAAGGGCTCCGGCAGGTCATCAATGTCCTTGAACCTCGGTTTCCTCGTCTATAAAATTAGGCATTGAAGGTCTTACAAATTGGGGGCCTGGGTTTGAGTCCCACGTATACTACTTAGTGCTGTGGGACTTTGCTGGGAAGTGTGGTGGGGGGGCAGGGAGAACAAGGAGGAAACAGACCCACTGAACTCCTCCATGTCACCCTGTGGAGAACTAGACCTCGGAGGGGCCGTCGAGCAGGCGGGCAGTCGGGCTGGAGCCCAGGCAATCCGATCCCGGCTCTGGGCTCTCCGCAAGTCACTCTCCTCCGAGCCTCACCCCCTTACCTGTCGATGGGGTGATAATGAGCACTTGGGCGAGATCCTTGTGACATGTCTAACAAGGACCTGGCCTGGAGCAGGGTGCCAAGAGATGCCCTAAGAAGTGCCGCTAGGTACCTTCTCCTGCGCCCTAAGGAGGATCTACTGGTACCTGTCACCATGACCGTGCGGATGTGGGTCCTCCGCAGAGCCTGGATGACTGCCGTGGTCTGTGGCTTAAGCAGGTTCCTCAGGACCAACAGCCCCAGGAGGCTCAGTTGCTGCTCCACGGTGTCCCTGCAGGGCGGGTCGAGGGATGATCAAGGCCCCTCCCCCAGCCCTGGGCTCTGCCTGCTGGCAGGCCTCCCTTTGTCCGCCCTGAGGCTTGGTTTCCAGGCCTTACCTGGCCAGTCGCTGAGCCGCCTCCAGGCTGGGCGTGATGGGCAGCGGCTTGCCCGCGAGGGCCACGACGCGGTAGCCAGCGGCAGTATAGCTTTGCAGTACCTCAGCGAAGTGGGTGGGCACTGACAGGCAGAGGCAGGTGTCACGGGGTAAGAGGGTCAGCACAGGGACAGAGCCTGGGTGCCTACCCCACTGTGTCCAGGCCGACTAGTGGACCTGGGGCCCGCCCCTCACCTGTCTCGGGGCTGCAGAGGCCAGCCACCAGCTCAGGGGAGCCCTTGACGTAGGCTTCGGGCTGAGCGGCCCCTGGCCACGCCACCACCACGCTCATGCGCTGCAGGGCCGATGAGAAGGGGAAGCGGCCAAGGATGCTGAGCGGCACCAGGGGCTCCACCTGCAGGGTTGGAGGGGCAGCTGAGGAGCTGGCCCGCGGAGCCCTCCCCTCCAGCCCCTCAGGCACCTCCTCAGCTCACCACACCCTGCAGCTGGGGCTCCATGACGGGAGGCCTCATCACTGCTAAGACCTGGGTCCCACATGCTGAGTCTGCAGCCAGCCCCTCCTCCAGGACCTGGGAGGCAGGCGGAGAAGGTTGGCTTCACAGGGCCGGGGTGCTGGCTTGGCCTGGGGCAGCCAGTCCTTGGCCCACAGAGAGGCAGCAGGAGAGAGTCAAGTTAGGCTTTGAAAGACTTCCTTAATGGGAGACTGGATACAACAGAAGAATGTGGGCTTTGGGGTCAAGTGGACCCGAGTTCAAACTCTGGCTTTGCTATTTATAAGCTGCTGGGTGACCTTGGACAAGTTATTCCAAATCCCCCTCAGCCTCAGCTTCCTCCCTGTGAAGGAGGCTTTATGCTCCCTTCCTCGGGCTATGGGGAGGGGCACATGAAACAGAGATGTACGACGGAGAGCCGGCACACTGTGGGTGCCGGGCACGTGGCCTTGGCCACTGACTACCGACGGTGGGTGTAATAGAGATCACCCTGGAAGTCCCAGAATGAAGAGCAGGTGGGCTTAGTTAGGGCCCAGCTGCCCAGAGGCAGGGGGCTGACCTGCTTGGCCTCCTCACCCAGCCAGTAGATTCCACCATCTTGAGGTCCATAGGGTCGCCCACTGGGGTGTCCTGGAGCCGGCTGAGGGCGTGGCAGGTGGCCAGTGCTCGGAGCAGGGGCCCCGTGGGCAGGCGGCGGGGCTCTGGGACCAGTGGCAGGAAGGCCTGCCCCTGCAGGGGCACCACACCCATCACATCCAAGCCATCCTCAGTGAGGGTGCCTGTCTGCAGGGGGCAAGGGGGCAGGCCGGGGATGAGGCCTGGGATGAGCTGTGCCCTGCTGGGCCGGGCGCCCACACCCCAGGCCAAGCAGGTCCCACGGGAGCCCCAGCGTCAGAGGGGGAACCAGAAGAGGTCTTCTCTTGTCTCTGGGCTTTTGCACATTCAGGTGCTCTGCTGATTGGCCCTCCCCAATCCCTGCTGTTTCTGTGCCTGGTGTCACTTCTTCCAGGAAGTCTTCCTTAGCCCTATGGTTGGGTCAGGCGGTCCTGACTGCGGGCTCCCACCCACGGCCTCTCCGCTACCCCATCATCTGTTCACTGCGGTACGAGGGAGAAGATCTGGTTGCACACCACACTTAAGGTAATTGTTGAATGAATGAATGAATGAGTGAGTGAATGAAAGGATGCCTGCGTTTCCCACATGTCCATGTGTTGCATGTCTGGCTCCTTTGATAGCCTGGGGGCTCCGTGAACCCAATCATCCACCAATCTTTCTATTCGAAACCCTCTACAGCCCCTTCTGCCCTCAGAATAACACCAAGCCTCCTCGGCCCCAGCACGTGGTCTGTTCCGCCAAGGAGCCACATTGGCTCCCTCCTAACCTCCCCAGCCCAGGCCCTGCCGCATCTCTGTGGGGCTCACCCCTCACTGAGGTCACCCAGGGTCCTGCTCAGGGGAGCCCTCCCTGACTGCTCTCTAAGGGAGCGACCCCCATGTGCCGCCACCATGTACCCCATTCGCTTCCTTCCCAAAACCCATTGCCACCCATGGTCGGCTGTGCTCCCTGGCTCACTTGTTCTGGTCGGGGCAGGCATACATGCACCCATGTCCAGGGCGACATCTGTGTGGGTCACAGATGGGTCCCCAGAAGCCCTGGGCCTGTGCACAGAGCCTCTCAGTGATTCTTGAACACGTGAGTTAATGATTTCAGACATTTTATCTTCGCCTGACGTGGGTGGTAGCTGGGGGAGGGCATCGAACCGGCCCTTGGTCTACGTTGCTGAGTGAAAAATGCAGGTGAGGAGGCCCGGCCGTGCTACCCGCGCCCCTGCCCCGTGCCAACCCTGCCCACAGCCCCCACCTTGTCGAAGCACACCAGCCGGAGCTTGCCCCCCAGGTTGATGCGCAGCGGGTGGATGCAGAAGATGCCCTGGCTGCGCAGCCGGCTCTGGGCGTAGAGTGTGCACACGGTCATGGCAGCGGGCAGGGCGGGCGGCACCACCACCGTCACCAGGTCCAGAGCCCGGATCACAATTTCCCTCACAGGCACCTGGCAGGGCGGGTGGTGGGGGGCACCATGAATGCCAGGGGCCAGGCTGCATGGGCCCCAGGCTCCACCAGGCAGCCACTGCCCGGCCCCCTGGGTTTCCTTACCCGGTTCCGGCAGAGGATGAAGATGCTGTAGATAGTGCCGAGGAGAGCTGGCGAGAGAGCAACGGACTCAGCGGGATTTGGGGTGGAGCCCTGGGGGCCGTGGTAGGGCGGGGTACAGGGTTCACTCACCCAGAACGGAAAGGGCAGCCACAAACTTCATGCTGTGTTTGTAGAACTTGAAGTTGATAGGCCGGGGATGTAAGATGGAGCTCACCAGCCCCCCTTTCACTGTGCAGAACCCTATGGGGAGACAAGGAAACTGAGGCAAGGTCGCTGAAGGTCAAGATGGGCCTTCCCGCCCTGACCGGTGTGGCTCAGTTTGTTGGGCATTGTCAGGAAAAGTGGAAGATCGCCGGTTTGATTCCTGGTCAGACACATGCCTGAGTTGTAGGTTTGGTCTCTGAATGGGGCACTTATGAGAGGCAACTGATCAATGTTTCTCTCATATCGATGTCTCTCTCCCTCCCTTCTCCTCTCTAAAAATTAAAAAAAAAAATCTTGCCAAAAAAAGGATGGGTTTTCCACTCTACTTGCACCTCTGTTGTAAGACACAATGCTCCAGGGTTAAAGAGCACTCAGCTGGGGGTCCTACAGGACAGCCCACAGCACCTGCCTACCCCTAGGGTTTGTTAGAAACTTGATGAGTAAGTCAGATCTGTGGCCCTGGGTCCTCTTCCCTTGTTGCAAGAACCTGCTGAATGCACAGTAGTCCCCCCTTATCTGAGGGGGACACGGTCCAAGGCCCACAGAGGATGCCTGAAACCGTGGGTAGTACCGAATCCTACACACGCTGTTTTTTCCTACAGGTACACACCTTTTCCCTTAAGAGAAGCACCTTAGGGCTTCTCTTCAGCGTACTCGAACTGCCAGCATCACCACTCTTGTGCTTTGGGGTCATTATTAAGTAAGGGAGACCGAAACACAAGCCCTGCGATATTGCGACAGTCAACCTGACAACCCAGCCGGCTACTAAGTGACTTAACGGGCGGGTAGAATATGCAGCGTGAATGCACTGGGTAAGGGGATGGTCCGCGTCTCCAGTGGGACACAGTGGGAGGACGTGGGTTTTTTTGTGCTACTCAGAACAGTGTGCCATTTAAAACTAACGAATTGTTTATTTCTGGAGTTTTCCATTCAATATTTTCAGGCCACGGCTCACTGCAGGGAACGGGCGCCAGGGTGAGGGGCCCGTACAGCACAGCCCCCTTCCTAGGGGGTGGGCCCCCTCCTGCCCGCCACACCCCTGCCCGCTTCAGCCAGCCCCGAGCCGGGCAGCGGTGAAGACGGGTCCCGCCTGTCCCACGTCACCTCTCTTCTAGGGGCTGGGCCCAGCACCCCTCCCTGCTGCCCTGACTCCTACCTGTTCGGGTCACCACCGCTAGGACGTGGGGTCCCACGATGGCCCGGCCCTGCAAGACGAGAGTCCCGCAGAAGAGTGTGTGTCGCCTGTGGGTCTCTGGGCAGTAGGGCGCTGGCCCTGCCGGCAGGGCCGTCTTCAGCACTGGAACGCTCTCCCCTGGCAGGGATGTGGTGTGAGGCCCACGAGGGCCTCCAGGCCCCTCCGTCCCACCAAGACCAACAGTCATACACAGAATTGTTTCGTCAGCCCTATGGCTCATTTTTAAAAACAAGATTATTGATTTTCTTAGAAAGAGAGGAAGGGAGGGAGAAAGAGAGGGAGAGAAACATCCATGCGCGACAGAAACATCAACTGGTTGCCTCTTTTACGCCCCCAACCAGAGACCTGGCCCACAACCCAGGCATGTGCCCTGACTGGGAATCAAACTGGCAACCTTTCGGTTTGCAGCCCTCGCTCAATCCACTGTGCCACACCAGCCAGGACAACCCTAGGTCTCATTAACTTTCATAATCATGTGTACAAAAAAAAAAAAAAAATATTCACTGTCTCCAACTTACAAAGAAGGACACTGAGGCTCAGAGAGGGCAAAGACCTAAGACACAGCGACACAGCCCTGGAAGGGTGTGTGCCAGCCAGTTAGTGACCAGGAGCTGTCTCCTGGGAGAGTCCAGAGTATGCGTGTGCATACATGCACACAGTGCAGGGTGCAGGCTGCGGGGAGACTTTCTCCTCCTTTTGGAATTCTTTCATAGCAAGCTGTATTATCTTTATAATTTGAATCAATAAAGATATCGATACAAGGGGACTTGACCACTGTAAAGCCCTGAGCTCCCTGCCTAGCAGAGCAGCGATCCCTTACTGGAGGCCCGAGGCCAAGGTTGTTAGCTGAGAGCAAGAGGAAAAGGAAACTCAAGCTACGAGCTCTGATGCCGGGCCGAGGGGCTTGGCGCAGGGCATGACACGCAGGAGACCGTGGGCCGGGCGCTTGGGCTGACCTGTCAGAGCGCTCTCGTTGACCATGCACTCGCCAGCCACCAGGGCGGCGTCGCAGGGCATCATCCCGCCCTCTTCGGGCAGCACCAGGCAGTCTCCTGGCACGAGCTCGCTGGAGTCCACCCACTCCTCCTCTGTGGGCAAGCGGAAGCCTCAGCGTGGCCCCAAGCCCCCGCGCCTCCCCCAGCCTCACCCTCTTCCCCAGCTCTCACCTCCCCCAGGCCGGCACACACACACCCGCATGGACAGCTTGACCATGTCCCTCAGGGTCTGGCTTTGCTGTGAGCAGGAGGACAAGCAGGGAGAGGGTGGGTGGAGGCCCCTGGGGGCCCACCTGCCCGCCCTGCCCACCTCACGCCACCCACCTTTCTGGTCTTGTAGAGAGACAGGCAGATGGACACGGAGGAGACGAGGAAGATGCACAGAGCGTACCAGTAGTAGTGGTCGGCCAGCCACAGCCCGATGCTGAAGGCCTGGAACCCGTAGTAGGGATTCAGCGCCTGGGGGTGGAGGGAGGCAGTGTCAAGGCCCTCGGTCCCCAGGGCAGCCCAGCCACAGGGAGCAGAGAGCCAAGCCCTGCTCCTGGACAGTCCCCTCCAGGTGTCCCTCGAGCCCCCAGCTTCTTCACTCTAAAGAGGACACGGGCCTTCACAGGACAGGCCCCCGAGAAGCACTTGCTCTAAGTGTCACACAACAGTGACAGCAATTCCACCAGCTGGATGCTACCACCGGCCTCCATTCCGCAGATGAGGAAACTGAGGCAAGGGAGGGTTAAGTCACTTGCCTAAAACCCCAGAGTTTCCAAGCGGCAGACCAGGGTATACGTCAGACCAGACCCCTGGGCTGCTGTGCCTTTCACAGGCGTCTGCCCGGGCTCGGAGGCCTGGGACGCTGACAGTGTCCTCTAGAGGTGCCAGGGTGGCTGGCTTCCCTTTGTCCCTGTGTGACCTTGGCTGTGCCTATTCCTGCTCTGAAGCTCGGGTTCCTTGCATGCGAACAGGGTCCCCACTCCCAGTCCCTATCCGTGGAGAATGGGGAGGATGATGCATGGAAAGGCGCCGCCTCTGCAGTGAGGAGTTGGGCAGAGGGCAGAGGGCAGGGCCTGGGTTCGCCTCTCGGCCTCTAAGCCCCAGCCTGCACCAGAGGCCCCGATTCCTCGCCCTGAGCTGATGGGTTCTGGGTCTCAGACGCCTCTACCATGGGGAAGGCAACGGCTGGTCTGGCCTGCCACTGTGAAGTGGCCCACACAAGGCTTGGGGACAGCCCTACCTCATCCACCAGCAGCTGGGGATAGGACTTGACCGGTACATTGATCACGTTGGGGCCGTAGATGGTCTTCCTGTAAGAAGAGAAGGGGCGAAGCCATCAGACGAAGGCGGCTGTGGCCACTGGACTCTCTGGGGGTGCTGAAAGCTCCTCATTTTACAGCTGGGGACACCGAGGCCCAGAGAAGGCAGGTGGCTGGAAGGAGGCAACAGCTGGCAGGAATGGGGGCAGGACAGGCGTCCCCAGCTCTCAGGGCCCCTCTGGTCCAGGGCAGCACACACCTCACGGCTTGGTCCTGGAGGCCGAGGCCGGAGCGGGAACGGTGGATGTCGTCACATGTGCGGCCGCGGTCCAGCAGGCTGGGGAGGAGGGGACACTTGGGCAGGTGGCAGGGCCTGAGCTCCACACCCCCCCACCCCACGTTTGCTGTGCTGTGCTCCCGGGAAGAGGTTCACTAAGTCTGGGCTGGTCTCTCTCCAGGTTCCTCTGACTGGGCCCACACCCTCTCAGCAAGGAAAGAGAACAAGGAGAGACGATCCCATTTAGTAGTGACGACAGCAGCGAAGATGCCCTAGGAAAGTCACTGAGCCTCTCTGGGCCTTGGGTTCTCCTCCTCCACAATGTGGGGGCGGGGACAGCACCCGCCCCTCAGGGCTGCGGGCGGGCTCAATGAGAAAGTCGTGCCGAGTGCGTGGACAGTGCCTGCACTGACTAAGTGACACACCTGTCGGCGACTTTGGCTGCTCCTGGGTAGCAGGGGCTGCCAGTGCCGCCCCCACTTCCCCTCGGCACTCCCCTCTGCAGGACGCAGAAGCTACTGCCAACACCTGCTTCTGCCTGAGCGCTGCTCCCGGCCGCGGGCGCTTGCTGCCCTCAAAGCGCAGAAGGGCTCGTGGCCCCGGGGCAGCCCAGCACCAGCAAGGGAAGGTGACGGGCCGGGACCCTAGCCTCCTCACTCTGTGTGTGGGCCACCCCAAGGTGAGCACTCTACACAGGACCAAAGAGATCCCTGAGGGGACCGAGCTCTAGGCGCCCACGACAACTACTCCCCTGGCAGCCTGACCGGCCCACCTCGCTTGCCCAGTGGTGCCCACCTTCCCGGCCAGCTCTCTGCATAGAGTCCCTGTATCAGGGTCTGCTTCTTGGTGCTCAAGCTCAGATGTGTTGGGAGGTTACATTTATCAAGCACTTAGTAGGTGGCAGACCTGGGACCAGCCCTCAAACAGACGGTCTGAGTCTAGTGTTCCCACCTGGGCCAGAGGCTCTACAGGTGATGATGTACTTTGCCCTTGAAATAAGCCCAGGAGGCAGGGGTTGTCCTTCAGTCCTGTTTACGAGGCCCCAAGGCCTGCAGAGGCTGAGTGACATGCCCACGACTACAGGAGGCCGAGGCACAGAGCTGGGAGGGAGTCCGGGACGCCCGCGCCCTGCCACCTCCTCCGCCCAACGCAGCGCCCAGCACCGCTGTGGGAGGCGGCATGAGCGTGTACCTGACTTGGCAGAAGGCCTGCTGGGCCTCTATCCAGACATATCGCTGGCCCCGGAAGAGGTAGTACCGCAGCACCTGCCGCTGGGTGGGAGAGAGGAGAGTCTGGGCTCGTGTGGGGTGGACGCCGGGACCAGCGCCACAGGATAGGGCGGGAGAGCAGCGTAGAGGCGGTCAGTCAGCATTCCCGACATTTGGGACAAGAGCCAAAGGTGCCCGGAGAACTAGGACCCTCCCGCCCGCTGCCATTGAACAGAGTGTGGAAGTAAGGCTCAGAGAGGGGCAGGGGCCTGTCCAGAACTAACCTGTCCACTTGCTGCCTCTTCACTGCCCTGGAGCTGGGCGGTGTCCTTCCACGCACCCTCAGGCACTGCCCCCACGGCAACCTGGCTTCGGCCGTCCTCCGCCTGGGCCTGTGGGGGCAGCTCCAGGCTGGGGAGGGGCATGGCGGTTACTGTTGGGCCCTGGGAGCTACCCCAGCGCCTCTCCATCCCCAGGAAGCCGCCCTCCCGTCCCTGGGATGGGAGGGACCAGGGTCAGAGCCTTTGTGCGTGGGAGACCAGGACACAGGGGCTTCTGGAAAGGGGCAGCGGGGCTGCCTTACCGGCCCCCACTGATGGCCTCAGTCTGCACCCGGACAGTGTGGAGCTGCCAGGAGCTACCCTGCAACGCGGAAGCTTGGACTCAGTCCAGGAGGAGACCCCTCCCCTCCCAAGTCCCCCCTCACAGCCAGGTGGTGCCTTCCGGAGGAGCAGGGATCATGAATATGGATACCTCCTCAGAAATGACCCCCCACCCCAGCCGCCCCGACCTGCCCCTTTTGCCCACTGCCCAGGTGGGAAAGTTGAGTTCCGGAGAGAGCAAGCCATGCAAGGTCCCGTGAACACTTAGCAGCTAGGTTAGGCTGAGAACCTGTGTGCCTCCCACCCCCCAAACCTAACCCAAGACCACCTTTCCGCAGCTGCAGGCTGTCACCGCTTGGCCTCTCACCTCTTTGTCTCTTATTTCGATGACGAGTGTTTCGGCGCGGGCCAGGTTGCATGGCTGGGATCGCAGCCGCACCCCCCACACCGGCTTCCACCGGAAGAGCAGCAAAGGGATCCCTGCCATCATCCAGACCACGACGTGATAGCCTATAACCCTCCATGGACTCCCACAGTAGCCGCTGAGCCTCTGTGGACACGGGGGTGGGAAGGCCCAGGTCGGGGCGGGGCCGGGGACAGAGGAGGAAGCCAGGGTCTGGGCCGTCCCAGTGTCGGGCCCCCCGCCCCTCTCTCGCCCACATACCACGGATGAAACTGAGGAGCTGAGGGGATCTAGAGATGTCTCTATCGTCAGGGTCCCATAACTGGCGGCCGTGCTGCCCACGAGAGGGCTGCTGTCTGTGGACAGAAGAGAAAATGTCATTTGGGGGCAGGGGACTCCTCTCTCTCATTTCTTTAAACACAATAAGCAGCGTCATTTTATATAAGCTGGTGTGATTGAGCCAACAGCGCCAGTCTCCCTGGGCCGGTTACCTGGCTGCTCTGTCAGTTCTCACTCACAGTGTCTTGCTTCCTGCGTGTCTGGTGATTTCTGACTGGGTGTGGGCCCAGAATTGGGAGACGGGGCCCGGAGAGTACACTGAGCTTCCACAGCGCTCACACACCCCGCTGTTAGCCTCCTGGGAGCTCCGCATCCCACCTTCCCACCTGGCCCCCGCCTGGAGGCCAGGATCAGCCGCTTGCCCTTGCTCACGCCCAGCACAGGCCTGGCAGCACGAAGGTGCTGCGAAGTCCGGTCTGGGCTCAGGAAACACGTCAGGACTGCCTTTGAGAGCAGCCCACTGCAAAGGTGGGAGGGGCGGCGGGGGAGGAACCTGGCCTCTGGCAGGGTGGGGCGGGGCAGGGGGGGGTGCGGAGAGGCAGGGTGAGCTAAGCAAGCCCCCAGGACTGTGGAGAGAAACCACCGCATCATGCCAGGGCCCCACTGAACACTTCCCAGGTGTCCTTCTGTGAGGAAGGCCCTACTATCATTCCCACTTTTCAGGTGGGTAAACTGAGGCTTGGGGAACAGCAGTAGGCTGTTGCAGACGCTCTTCTTCCTCCTGCTTGCCCTCTTGTGCAGCTGTGGTCCTAGCAGGGTAGGGCGACAGTGGGTGTTCTGGGGCCCCGAAGTGGGTGGGCTCACTGCTCCCCCCTGGGGCAGCCTCTGATGGGGCTCCTCTGGCTGTGATCCCAGACCACGTGAGCCTGAGCCGCTGTCAGGCATAAAAGTGCCCGGGCCCTTTCCAGACCAGCTGGGGCACTGGCAGAGGGGAGACGTGTTTCACAGGAGCCTCTGGGAAGCTCAGTAAGGCGGGTAGGAAAGCTGGGCGCGGGCGGGGGCCGCGCCTGCCATCATCCTGGGTTCCCTTCCTCCCCTTCCCCAAACAGAGCCCTGCAGGGGCCTGACCTAAAAACATCTACACAACAAGTCCAGGGTGTCCCAGGCAGCTGCCACTGTCAAAACATCCCAGTCCCTCAGCTGCTTGGTCCCCAAACACTTGGGCTTCTGCAGCTGAGCCCAACAACCCATAATAGTCAACCTTTCCTGTGCAAACTCTGCTCCTGACTCTTTTTACATCGTTAACACCATAACCCTGCCATGTAAGCACAATTATTATCCCCTTTTTATAGAAGAAAATGAAGCTCTGAGAGGTTAAGTTACTTGCCCAGATCACACCAAACAAGTCATGGTAGTGCAGGAACGCAGGCCCCGGATGGCAGACTCCAGGGTGGCTTTTGATCCTTCTGCTTTACCACTTGGGAATACCCTGAGGCTTGGGGCCACGTGTCCCCCCCCGAGGCCAGGCAGTCTGTCTCCCTTCCCAGCCCCCACATCTCCCTGTCTCCCAACGGTGATAATAATTACTATGGTAATGACCATAATTAGAGCAGCCAACATACATTAAGCACCTCCCAGGTGACAAGAGCTCTAAGCTTCTGCGTAAAATAACCCATTTAACCCCCTCCAGGCACACGATGAGGGGATTTGCATTCCCCATTCCACAAACGAGGAAGCTGAGGCTCAGAGGCGCAAAGACCCCCAAGTAAATGGTGGAGCAGGAACTCGGGACCCAGGTCCTGTGCTTTCCCAGCCTGTGCAGGCACTTTCAGAAAACAGGCGCATGCCCTGCACCTCCCGAAGCCTCTCTGATCCCTTGGCTTTAAAGCCATATTAGCCCAAGTCCCACCTATAGTCAGTCACTCCTCCATCCGCCCAGGTGACTCAGAAAGCAAATGGAGCCACCAGCTCCAGGGGGAGAGAGACAGACAGACAGACAGACAGGCGCGCGCGCGCGCACGCTGCAGCTCTCAGCCACTGCGGCCTCTGGCCAGGGCCCTCTTCCCTGGGGCTCCCAGAGACCCCGGCCTGGGTCCTGGGGAGGGGGAGAGGTTGTCCTTTTCAATCTGTAGGCCCGGCCAAGTCCATCTTGTGAGTGAGGCTTGTGGGGGCTTCGTTTCCTTCTTTTCTTGGGGCTGCTCTGCTCTGGTGTGGCCCTGGGGAAGCTCAGGCAGGCTCCAGGCCTGGGAAGCAGAGGAGCAGACATTCAGGACAACTGACAGTCTGTCTGGCAATGCTGGGGTCTCAGGCCCTTGGCCACCAACAAGCCACAGCCCTCTTCCTGCCCCAATTCAAAAGGCTGCAGACCCAGTTGCTCCTGGAGTCCTTCTGCATTTTGTGCCCGAGACCCTCGCCTGCCCTGGAGACCAGCTCTGAGTGGGGCAGGCGGGTCGTTTCTCCTGCCTTACAGACTTTCTCCAGACATTTCTGTGGCACGAGGGCAAGGAGCACCTCAGGTTATCAGGGTGCTGACACAGCCCAGGCCCTGCTCCGACGGCTTCACATCGGCGGATTCATTTATCCCCATGAAGCAGGTACTAACTTTATCCCTATGCTACAAATTAGGAAACTGAGGCGCAGAGAGTCGCAGTAACTGGCCCAAAGGCCACGCAGCCAGCGAGCGGTGGGATGTGGCTCTAGACCGTGTGACTCTAGGGTCCATGCTTTCAACCAGGGCCCCTCTGTCACCATCATCATCTCCATGGCAATTGGGCTCCTGGCTCTTAACACACAAGCCGTGTTTTTATTTACTTTTATTTTTTTCAAGGCAAGCACCTTAGCCTCTCTGGGCTTCCACTTCCGAAGTCTAGAATCATAACCCTGAGGCAGCTGGCACAGGAGGAAGTGGGAGCCACTGGGGGGCCTGAGGTCCCAGATGCTGGGGCCTGCGCAGGCTGGTGGCTGCGGCTTCCCTGCCATGGGGGTGTGGCTCTGCTCTGACCCATTTCTCAGGCTCCTCTCCACTTCCCTGGCGCCCAGCCTGAAACCTCACAGCTGTGCCACTCTTCCCACACGCGCACCAGACAGCATCTCCCCGTGCCTTAAAACCCTCCGGTGGACAGCTCCCCGGGGACGGGAAAGAAGCCCGTCGCGCGCTGGGCCCACGCGGGCCCACATCGTGCGGGTGCTGAGCTCATCGAATCCTGCAACAGTCCTGCACCTTCTCCCCTGTTACAACTGAAAGAACCGGGCCTCGGGGAGGCGCACAGACTTGTCTTGCAGCTGGAAAGGGCCTGTCTTACCCCAGCGTCTTCTCTGCCCATCCCACGCTGGTCCGCCAACACCCATCTCGACATCAGGCTCGCATGGGTGTCAGTGGCCATCCTGCTCACAGGGCCCGACACAAGGCTGGGGCTCGGAGCCACTTACTGGGTGAATGAGTAAATGCCCGCACATCTCACTTGGGAGGGACGGTGCCAGGCGTCGCCATGCCCGTCTCCTGCTCCTGGGTCAGCCAGCTATGAGGTGCAGAGGTGTGAGACCCTCCTGAAGGGCCCTGCCTGGGGCCATCTTGTGCCGCCCCCACTTTGTCACTTTCCCCAGGTCCTACCACACATCAGTCACTGTCATTTTATGTGGATGCTCTCCCACTCAACCTCAGGAAGAAGGAAGGGAGAGGAGCATGAAGGACAAAGTCACCACTATGGAAAACTCTGGTCTCCAGCCCAGGCAAGGTCAAGCCCAGGGCACCCTCCCCTCTAGGGCACAACTGCTCTGCGGTGCTTCCTTCTCTCTATGCACATCTCAGTCTCCTCCCGGAGTGAGGGGAAGGGCAGGGAAGTGCCTGATCTCTCCGGTACCACCAGCTCAGGCCAGCCCAGAGCAGCCACGTGCAAGCTGCATGGGACGAGATAACTTTCATAATTATATGGCTGTTCTGAATAAAAGTGGCTGATCTCCATGCCTAACCCTCTGAGGGTGGGACTGTTATCCCTATCTTACAACCTTGGAAACTGAGGAACAAAGCTTCAAAGTCCCTCGTCCAGGGTCATACACCTTGAAAGAGGAGAAAAGCTGGAAATAAGTGGCTCTGAATGAACACATTCCTCAAGGCTGCCCCAGGAAAAGCATGGATTAGGATCCCGATTTAAAGGGAGGCACAAACAGATGGCCAAGGCCAAAGCCACCCGGCCTGACTCTGCAGCCCTGGGGCAATGCTACAGGCACTGCAAAGCAGAGGGCCTGGAGTCAAAGCCATCTGGGAACCTCTAGTTTCTCTAGTTTCCTGCGGAAGCCCCCGGCTTCCTGCTGCTGACCTGGCAGCTGCCCAGGGAGGCCTCCCTCACTATCGTCTCTCTGAGGCCAGAGGCTCCTCTCCCCTGCCAGGCTGGGGGGCGAGGGACAGTCAGCCAACAGCACCCTCATTCTTGGATCTGTAGTTCAGGGGCCATCTTTCCCCAGCCTTTCCCCTCCCTTATCCTGGGTGTGCTCTAGGCTTTGAGGGTAGGGCTTGAGGGGGCAGATGGGGAAGGGGAGACCAGAACCCAGGGGTCTGCAGCTGCAGAGAGGGTGCTCACGTCCTGGTGGGCCCTTTGCTGAGGTCTGGGGTCTGAGTGACTCACAGGGCGATGAGACCCTCCTGAATAGGAAAGGTCTATTGGCTCCATTCTCAGCAAGTGGAATTTAAATTAGACTCTGGAAAGGATGGGCCTGGGATGCCTGTGATAAGTAACAAGAAAGGCGTGGTTTTGGACCTGGGTGTTGATAGGCTTCCTCTGGGGGCCTGAGTAAGGGGATGGGAGGGGCGTTTTGTGCCCCAGGACATTTTCAGGTGCTCGGAAGACCGAGCCAAGAGGAAAAACTGCCCAGAGGCCCCGGATGCTGAGGCCTCCACGCCTCTTCCCCCACCCGGACATGTCACACTCGCGGAAGCAGGTCCAATGGGAGAGGGGGCGTTTCCCTGCGCCCCGCCACCGCGGCCCCCGCTGCCCAGTGACTCCTTGCACAGGCAACGGGAGCTCCCCCTCCCAGGATTGTAGGAAGGCGGGGAGGGAAGGGCTCTGCGCGGCGCCATCCTCCGGCTCCTGGAGTCTCTGGGAAGGACCCCAGGGATGACGCCTCGGTGACGGGGGAGGGCCCGGGCGCGCGACGCCCCCGGGGTCGTTTCCCCGGCTCGCGACCCTGCGGTGGGGTGTCGCCTCATAACAACTGTATCGACGGGCGGCCCGGGGACCGCGCCGGGTTTCTGGGAGGCCGTGCCGCACACTCACCTGCGCTCATGCTGGTCCCTCGCGCTCATCGCCGGCCACGGCGGGGGCGCGAGGCGGAGGGCAGGGGAGCGGCGAGGCGGCCTGTGAACCTGCTGCTTCTGGCGGCCGGGAAGGTGCCGCAGTCGGATTCTGAGCACCACCAAGCCCCGCCCCGCCCACTGCGGCCGCACGTCCGCCCGCCGCGCCGCGGGGTCTGCCGGGACTTGTAGTCTGAGCCTCCTCCTGCGCACGCGCAGACACAGAGGCGCGACTGCCCTCAAATACACGCTCGTGCGCGCGCGCACAGGGGGAACGCTCAGGGAATCCACCCTCAGACAGAGAGACAGACAGATTGACAGAAGGGGAACTCTCAGGGGATCAGATAGGACAGACCTCAGACACGGGAATACAGAGGCATACACTCAGAGAAAAGCTCAGATGCACAAACCAAGGACACCGCAACTCTCCCACCCCATACCAGCTCACAAACAGGAGACGTGTGACACTTAAGACTTAATAACCTTCAGACACACACTCAGATAGACGCCCAAGACGCAGACACAATACACAGATTCACACAGGTGAAGCTGACCTACACAGTGGTGGGACACTTAGGAACACAGACAGAGCAACCCGCACTCACCTGCCACGGCCTGCCACTTGGAGTCAGTCCCAGCTGCAGGTCATAGCGGTCATGGGCTATGCATGCGGGTTCAGGGTGGCCTCACTCTCTTCCAGGCTCTGGGACCTTGGGCAAGACAGTTAACCTCTCTGGGCCTCATTTCCTTTTCTGTTTTTGTTGGGGGTGCGCATTTCTTCATTTGTAGGGTGCTGATGACATCAGCAGTGCTTACTTCGTAGTTTTGTGAGGGTCACGTGAGAAAAAGCATGCAAAGCACTTGGGACCGCGCTTAGCCCTGCTCAGTGCATGCCAGAGAAGGAAGACATGCCTGCCCAGAGCAGCATGGTCAGATGTGCCTCACAGAGATATGGGTGAACACAGGGAGGCTCTGCGATACTGCACAGGAGGCCTCCAAAATGCCAGAGAAATAGCAAAAGCATAGAGCAGACCCCAGAAGCCTCATCTCACACCACGCACAGGTGGGGTCCATGGAGGCCCCTGAAAGGCACCAGAGACGTCATACCTGTATGCCGTAGTCATCATGTGGCCCTACAGTGACAGACACAGATACGGTGTTCTGACCCCGGGGTCAGTGGCCTCTGGACTAAGGACCTCCAAAGGTGGAGGGTGGACCAGAGTCCCCAGGCCCTGGGGCAAACCAGGGAAGGGTCAGGTTGGAGCCAAGGCTAGGGCTGGGCCTGACCCATCATCATTCATCCAGTATGAATTTCTGGAGGGCTGGGCACTGTTCCAGGAGCTGGGAACATGAGGGTGAACGGAACACCTGGGAGCAGCCAAAGGCAAGTAGTGGAAAACTCCCCTGTAACCTATTGTGGAAGAGCTAGAAGGAAACAGAGCTGTGATGGAGAGTCATGGTGGGAGAGAGACTGCGGAAAGGGAAGCAGGGAAGGCCTTGGCCTTCCTGATGGTACCTGATACATACCGAGGACTCGGTAGGTACATTTGGCAAAGGAGTAAAAGTTGGCAGGACTTGCTGATGGACGGACAGGGTGTGGAGGCACAGGACTGTGTGTGGAATCAAAGATGGCCCCCAGGGTTTTGGCCTGAGTGGCCTGGGCACAGCGGAGTCATTTACTGTGCTGGGGCAGGCTGCTGGCGTAGCAGGTTGACCACGGGGGTGGGGGAGGGGGGATAACCTGTACTGGCCTCACTCATTTTAGGTGAGAAGACCTGTTTCATCTGCAGATGATGTTTCGAGTCGGGGCAGACTGCTTATACCTTCTCAGAGTCCCCATTTTCTCCCCCAGGGCTTAGCCCAATCCCTGGCAGGCCACTTACTTAACCAGAGGAACTCAGGCCCCTCCACGGCAGGCAGGGTGGCTGGATTTAGAAAAGTGGCTCTCTCAGGTGGCCTTGCCAAGAGGCCGTATGGCACAGCGGCAAGGGCCTGGCGTCTGGCACCAGGGAGACCTGGGTCTGGATGTGCAGCAGGTGCTTTCGGGTTGTGCGAGCCGCTGTCCTCATTGGTGAAATGAAAGCTGTTGAGAGGATGAAATAAGGCGGCAGGTGCTTGATAGACCTGGTTACTTTCTTTAGATCCTGGCGCTGGGCTAGAGGCTTCATAAAAGAGGGCGCTTGGAGACTGCACGGCAAGACTTGGCCCCTCATTCTTCGTATCGCTAATGCTGCTTGGCATTGAAGAGGCTCCATCCTCTGAGCCATGTGGGAGGACCTGCCCCTTGGCCCATCACCTTGATGGGGCAGGAGGCCAGAGGAAGCTTCCCTCCAAACCACAGAGGATGTGGGAGGCCCTGCTATCTGTCCAAGTTTTACTTTTGGGGAAGTGGCTCTCACTGTGTGGTCATTGAGCCGTCTGCGGGCTGGGCTCCCGTCACCTGTGGGCGCAGATCGATGGCGGAACTTTCCTTCCAGGGCGGCTGCTCTCTTGGGGGTCCACGGGAAGGCCATGATGTGCCTGGCAAAAGGCTTGAGAAGTCACTCATTTGGCCCGGTTTACTCTAGACTCGAGCATTGCTTCACTTCTCTATTTTTTTAGATTTCACTGGATTTTTGCAACAAAAGGGGTTTTCTTACCTAGTGACAAACCCCGTGACAAGATTCTGGCTGTGTAGACACACAAAGTGGAGTTTCAGCAGTTCGTTCTGGAGCTTTCCTGGGCAAAGAGGAGAAGGGGCTGGGAGAGAATTTGGGGGTCAGTTGGCAGCACTTCCTCCCTGCACTGAGCAGTCCATGCGAGTGTGTCATGAGAGCTGAGAAACAAGCATCGTTATTAGCCTTGCACAGAAAAACTATCCTTGGAACAGGATGTCTCTATCTGTGGCCAGTGAGGCCAGAAATATACCAACTTGTCCAGAGGGCTGGGAATTAACCACCTTTGAAGTTCCTGCAGCCTTCAGCAGAAGACCTTTCACACAATAGGTGTTAGAGACAAATCCGTTAAATTGATTTCATGAGGCATTTGCTCAACTGCAAGTTAGATGCTTTTCACATATTTTTTGAAAATTGATATATGTTAAGTATTCATTTATTTAAAACATTTTCAGCTTTTCTGAGGTATAATTAACAAAATTGTAAGCTATTTGAAGTGTATGAGATGATGATTTGATATACCTACACTCTGTAACCCTCCATCAATCGATCCATCACCTCACATATTTAGTGTCTTTTTGTTTTGTTCTGTGAGAACTTACATTTACTCTTATTTAGAACCACAATTCTGAGAGGTGAATGCTGTTAATGCCCATTTTATGGGAAAACACAGAAGTTTGATAACTTGCCCAAAGCCTGGTTAAGAAGAGATGACTGGCTTCAGTCTGAGAGAAACTCGAGGCATTTTCACAACATTATTTTTGTGCGTGAAGGTAGATCATCTGGACAGTAGGGACACAGAAGTAGCATAAAGGATATAAAATACTGTTTTTTTCTGGTCGGGTCCGCGGTTTTCTTAGGAGAGTCCTTGTGACTGCTGAAACGGAACATCTGCCTGCAATCCAGGGAAAGATTAAATACACAGTAAACTAAACTCTCAGTTGATAACATATTCCAATTTAGCTGGAGTGTGAATAGAACGAGAAGTGAACTACAGTTGCAAACTTGACATCTGATGAAACCGGTTAGGAGTGGCAACTGCCCTCCGTACCCTGCCTCTTACCAGTCGCTGGGGTTGCTGGACTCCTCTTTGCAGGCCATGCAGTTATTCAGGAGAAACACCCGTCTTTCCCTAGGATCTAGACCAGAAGCAGAGTCACATTTTCCATGAATCCAAGGAATGTGACCTTCCTGGGCAGAAGCCAACGAGGTGCGGCTTTTGCCTTACCGCCCTCCCCGCCCTGGTCGTGGGTGTCTGCCTGAGGTTTTTCCAGCTCTTTTGAATTTTGAGCTTAAGCACCGGAGGCCTGTGTACGGGCGTAGTGAGATGGTCAAGAATTCCAAGATGCTATTCTTAAGGGCAAAGACCCTATTCTCTAAAATTCTAATTCAATGCTTGTTCTTTTTTTCTTAGTGACCGCAGTTCCTAGGTGGCAGGGGACAAATCTTGTTCATCTTTACACCAGTGTTTCCTCTGGGGGTGCTGGAGAGCAGAGCTTTTGAATGTCCCCTTTAAAAAGCCAGAAATGCAGCCGACTGGAGCTCGTTGGGCCAAGCCACCCCGAAGGCGTCCGATCTGCAGAGCTGAAAGCCAGGAACGCTCATTAAGGCTCATTCTCAGGGAGGCAGACGTTTTTCTTAGCTGCCTGCCTCCTGACACAAGCAGCCCCTGTTCGCTGGATGACTTCACTGCTACCACTTAAAAAGCAGCCTTGGGATAGTCCTGAAAGTGAAAATAGGGTCTATCCCAATGTGAAATAGCGGGGGAAATGGTTTAAGTTATGGTGCACCTACACTATAGAGCAAGTAACCAGTGGTTAAAAAGGCTAAGGCAGGAGATACATTTTACACACACACACACACACACACACACACACACACACACACACACACCCCATCAAGGAACAAATGGATAAACAAAACATGATATGTACAAACAATGGAATATTATTCAGCCTTAAAAAGAAAACTGTCCATGTAAGAATGTCTAAACCTGTAAAGGATTTTTTATAAGACTTTGACTCAAATAGAAGTTACCCCTGGAAGCAAGATCTCAATAGATTGGGATAAATGCTTTGGAGAATGAGTTTGCAATGTCTTTTATGCATTAAGGAGGAACATAAAGAAGGTTACTCAAAAGTGGGAGAGAGTAAGATGGGCATCCAATTACAGGATAGTTCAGATCACATGCTCTGCAGAGGGCGGTCACGCCTTAGAAGGAGGTAGGGGCCTGAAAGGGGGCATTTCACAGGTGTGTTAACAGGATGCACAGAAACAATGGTCAGGGCTCTCTTAAGGCACAGAAAGTTACATGACCGGGCCTGGCTCCCCGCCATGACCTGCCCAGTTAGGAATCAATGCTCAGACCGCCCTGGGAGGTCACTTTCCGTAGGACCCCTTTTCATCCACAAGGGGAATTCTGACACATGCTACATGGATGAACCTCGAGAACTTTCTGCTAACTGAAAATAAGTCACAAAAAGAC